CGATTGAGTATTATGGGACACTAGCCCGGCGGTCCTTACTGTTACCGACTAACAGTACTCTTATGCATTTGGTGAAAGGGAGAGAATGGAATATTAATTGTCAAACTCACTGGTTGATGAACTTACCGTGTCTTGACTGCACTAGTTGCGCCCCTCAGTTAACAGCAAATTAGTCTTTCTCGCTTTATAAGTCAGATAAAACACCTTCCCTCGGGATCTTAGTGATATCAAAAACTATTTCCATCGGAAAATTGTTCTGAATGTGTCGTGTTTTATTCTTTTATCTTTTTATCAATTGTTATTGTTGTTTATTTATGACTAATCTTAGGGAGTTATAGATATCAGGTTTTATCATATCATATATATATACCTGTTGTTCTGCTTTCTATCATTAATATTTTGTGCTTGATAAAGATTCCTGAATGTAAATTGAAACGTTTCAAAAATTAAAGAAGGAATAGTATATCCACATTAGTGTTCTTATTCATTTAATATATATCTAGATGTCAATGAATGACAAAGACAGTTTTTCTTTAGCTCATTGTTCAGCTGGTGTTTTTGTGTCAAATTGTGCAAGCTTCATAAATTGGGACTTTGAACCTTCCGATCGTAGGAGGTTTTTGATTTCTATTCCTTCAAACGTAATTGAATAATATTGATTCAGTTAATTTAAATACTCGAATAGCTTTATAGAAGAGGTTTTTGTTTAAAATGGAAGGGTTAAATGATGGATTGGTAGAAAATTTAGATTGATGAAAGCAATGATTTATATTGCTTGATCTTGTGAACTGCTCCCACAAACTCTTATAAATTCTTTCTTGATATCTGTTGTTCATCTGACAATGTTTAAGAAAGCTGTACTTATTGTAGAACATTTCAACATATTATTAATTTAGAATGGCAAAGTTATCAACGATTAGTTCACACATCATGACCCAATTTTAGATTAAAATGGTGATAAAGCAATCTGATAAATCACCCAGATTAGGACCTTACGCGATTATGATGGAAGTAAAATGAAAATAAAAACGGTTATTTTTTTATACATTGATGTGACCACGACATCACCTACTATTTCTATTTGTTTTTTAACAATATGTGGACTGCCAGTCAGTCAGATGGGAGTACAAGATATTATTTTAACATTATCTGTATCCGTGTAAGTGTATAAAATCCACGTTGGCATCCAAAATGGCCACTGAACACGAATAATGTGATGCCATTGCAAATGAAGTGTCTAAATATATATATTCTGAGATAAGAAATTAAAAGAATTGTTTATTTATGTTATATATATGATCTACATGCCAAATTCCAAAATGGCCACCACACATCTGAAATTGTTTAAAAGGTTGACACCTATGCCTACACTAATTGCTTTTTTACATTTATATTAAGAAAATATCTTATCAGATTATTGTTGAGACTTGATTCTGAGAGTCAATATTGAAATTATTGCAACTGACCAAAAGGTATTGAACAAATCTACATTATAAGCCTTAATAAGATTAAAGGTTTCTAAATGCTGGTTAATTTTAAGTCACAATTATATAATTGATTTCAGGTATTGTAGACATATTCATTGACTTCAGTGCCGCCTTAATCTGTCTTTATCTCATGTAATATGATAACTTGATATCTCAAGATTACACAAGTCAGTTTTGACTGTAACCCTTGATCCGGCTATCCGATATTCCCACTACACATTTTTATTTGGATTGATTCATAATAACTATTGAGGCGAGTTATTATGTATATTGATGTTATTAATTGATAAGATATACTGATATGAAAGACGATTGCTCACTGGCATCATCAAAAAATGCAAATGTGTTATATTATTAAGTTTGCATAGTCGTTTGACATTCTGATCCGACCATTACATGTCAAATGGCATGCTGATCATAGCTAAATTCAATACAGATCACCTTGGTATTAACCAACATACACCTAACCTGGCACTTTGGTGCGGTAATCAGGTAAAATCATCCGATCATCACGACAGTCGGTAGACGTCACCCTTTATGTCTTATATAAACCAGAAATGAAAACTAACATGAAATTGATAGGAATCATCTTTACATTACAGGCCAACGAACGACCAGCGGATGGACCAGATTCGGTAGACGTATAAAAATTGAAATCTGACATTAACGTCTGTTTTCGTCAACTAATATAAATGTTTATAGTTGAAAGTATTTGTCATCTCCAGCGAAGGTTATTAAACTACATATATCGAAATGCTGGATTGCGTGTTTAAATGACAGATTTCTTCACCTTAATAGTTCATCTAATTCCCATTCGACCGACAAAAGTAATTGGGTGTGTGTCGTCGGCAACATGGTTAAGAACGCGATTCTTTGTATTTTTTCCAATTATTTTCTGCTCATAATAAAACTCATAAGCGAATAATGCGTGTTAGTAATAACTGGAGAGAAATCGTTGAAGTGTTTTTTTTTCTGATTTTAGATATTTTTTTTTTCAATTTCTTTCCCTAAACAACTCTGACTGTTAGATAATAGAATTCCTAAAGTACTTTTGTGGCGTCCTGGCAATTTTCAGCTAAAACCAACTTCAGTAACGTCTTTTGAAATTGATTGTGGACTGTTAATGTGACTCAAGACTGTCCGTCAGTCAACATTGGTTTTTGTATCAAGGTCTATCCTGGTTTGATTTCGTTATACGCCCAAAAAGCATCGAAATGTTGCGATCTATGTTTGGGTATCATGCATATTTATTTTTGGTTATTAACATTTTCGTTACTTTACTTTGAACATATAAACAATATTTTACTTTATGATAAATTTGGTCGTCATATTTTCAATCGGTGAAATGCTGAAATTGTACAGACAACTAGCATCTCATTTCGTTTTTATGTTTTATGTTTCAAACAGAAAGCTGATTTCGTTTTCATATAAAGTAATATCTGTAACCGGAAAATTATATTAAAGGAAACAAGAACAGACATATCAAATAATTTAATGTTTCTTTACACTAAATATCAATACCATTAAAAGATGTATTCTGATGGAAATATATACTAACTTCAGAACAGAAAAGCTTCAAAAGAAATATTGGTTTGTGTAATATTGTTTCCTTTGATAGTATCTTGAACATTATTCACTATTATCGACAATTTCTTGGCAATATAAACAAATCATAACTTCTTACCAATATTTCTTGCTTTATAGAGGAAATTATTTTAACCATTTATTTCCTGTCGAGTAAATATAATTCTCTGGTTACAATATTAGTCCGAAACACTCGTGTAGTTGGGGAGTAGTTAAAATGTATTTATCTATTTAAGTCAGACACTGATATTGAAAGATTATATTTTTTGCGCGTACGTCATAAGCAGAAAATCAGTCCATCTCGAATCAACATACCTGTGCTAAATAATGTCTAATGTTTTAAAGAAAACAGCAATACTAGTTAAATACAAATGAGATCCATTTAATGATGCGAATAAAAGTTTTAAGAGTGAACTATTCTCATTCACCATAACATTGCCAAATCGAACCCGTGTCTGGTTCCTGACTGAAATAATAATGTGTTTTACAGATTGAGATTGAATTGTTACTCAGACTAATATATTTGTGTTGCTAAACTATCACAAAAATATTACGAACTTTTATCTATCTTATATTCTGAAGACAAAAAAGGTTAGTTTATTAGAAAGATGGGAAAATAGAAAGCTATAAAAATGTAATAATTTATTGAACTCTTAAAAACTGTGGAAAGATCAGCATATTCAAATACAATAGGAATGGCAACCAAAACCATTATATATACAAGTACACATCCAATCTGAATCATTTACAACATGTAACAATGACCAACCATTAGTGGTTGAAGGTAAATGGTGATTTTTGAAGATGTAAAGGAAATTTTGATAAATATAAAATATTCAATAGTTTGATTAACACCAAATCCTTGATGTGGTAACATCTTCAAACAATACTTGATATGGTAACATCTTAATGATAAACACTCGATAACACTAACGTTATAGGGATAAATACTTGATATTATGCTATCTTAATATAATTTCGTAATAATGAGTAGGCCTACCCAAGCAACTAACGTGGTAATAATTAATGCTTGATATACTAACGTCGTAATGAAAACTTCTTGATATGGTAACATCTTAATATTTAACATCTGAAGACCTGATATGGTAACATCTCACCACTTGATATGGTATCATCTTACTACTTGATATGGTAACATCTTACCACTTGATATGGTAACATCTTACCACTTGATATGGTAACATCTTAATACTTAACATCTGAAGACCTGATATGGTAACATCTTAATACTTACTACTTGATATGGTATCATCTAACTACTTGATATGGTATCATCTAACTACTAACTACTTGATATGGTAACATCTTACAACTTGATACGGTAACATCTTACCACTTGATATGGTAACATCTTACTACTTTATATGACACTCAATGCAGTAACGTTATAAAGACAAATACTTCAAAATGTTAACGTCGTAATGATAAATATTTGATAAGGAAACATATCAATAAATACTGGATATGGTAATATCTTAATGATAAATAATTGATATGGTAATATCTTAATGATAAATAATTGATATGGTAATATCTTAATGATAAATAATTGATATGGTAATATCTTAATGATAAATACTTATTATGATAACATCTTAATGATAAATACTTGATATGGTAATATCTTAATGATAAATACTTATTATGATAACATCTTAATGATAAATACTTGATATGGTAACATCTTAATGATAAATAATACTTGATATGGTAATATCTTAATGATAAATAATACTTGATATGGTAATATCTTAATGATAAATACTTGATATGGTAACATCTTAATGATAAATACTTGATATGGTAACATCTTAATGATAAATAATACTTGATATGGTAATATCTTAATGATAAATACTTGATATGGTAACATCTTAATGATAAATAATACTTGATATGGTAATATCTTAATGATAAATAATTGATATGGTAATATCTTAATGATAAATACTTATTATGATAACATCTTAATGATAAATACTTGATATGGTAACATCTTAATGATAAATACTTGATATGGTAACATCTTAATGATAAATACTTGATATGGTAATATCTTAATGATAAATAATACTTGATATGGTAATATCTTAATGATAAATACTTGATATGGTAATATCTTAATGATAAATACTTGATATGGTAACATCTTAATGATAAATAATACTTGATATGGTAATATCTTAATGATAAATAATTGATATGGTAATATCTTAATGATAAATAATTAATATGGTAATATCTTAATGATAAATACTTGATATGATAACATCTTAATGATAAATACTTGATATGGTAATATCTTAATGATAAATACTTGATATGGTAACATCTTAATGATAAATACTTGATATGGTAACATTTGGTAACATCTTAATGATAAATAATTGATATGGTAACATCTTAATGATAAATACTTGATATGGTAACATCTTAATGATAAATACTTGATATGGTAACATCTTAATGATAAATACTTGATATGGTAACATCTTACTAATAAATACATCGTGTAACAAATACTTGATATAGTAACATCTGAATAATACATAACTGATAAACACTTCATATGGTAACATCTAAACAATACTGTATATGATACATCTTAATATGGTAATAATGCAACAATGAATAGTTATTATGGTAACGTTGATAAATAAATACTTGATATGGTAAACATATTTACGGTGCATACTTGACATATCAACAATGTGGCATGGATACTTGATTACATAAAACTTAATATCTTAACAATGCATACTTGATTTTAAAACATCTTAAAAGTGCATTCTTGACACGCTTACATCTTAACAATGCATACTACATAGGTCAAAATTATTAAAAACTTAATATTTCTCCGTCACTGAAATTGCATTATTTGTTATTGTTACATCTAAGCATAGATAAGGGGATATGTTTACACGAAATTGATCCTTCGAGATAATTATACATTTGTATACCACCTCCTTCCGGAAAGTATAATGAACAGAATAATCTAAAAAGCATTTTAAATGATAATATTGGAAATTAAATAAAAATAACTGTTCAACATTTCAACTGTGAACATATACTTGACGTACTGACGGTGTATCCTAGATCCATTAACAGTTTTCTGAAAAAGTGTTGATAAATCTGATGCCAGTAAAGCTTGTGTCAAATAGAATGAATTATCACGAGAATTGTATTGATAGATTTTATGGATCAGATTTCAATGGTATGTAGTTAGTATTTCTCATGGGTCTCGTTTATTTCAATAATAAGTGAATCTATATATTATCATATAACATAACTATTAATCATGCTTCAAACGCTTTCACTTTGATGTAGATAATGGAAGCTTGTAAAAACATTAATAAAATATACCGGGAAACAAACAGAAAACAAGGGCCCTGTTATGACATTGCCATTATAAGATCGAACAACATGAACGTTAGGTTTAAATTATTAAATAAACGTTAGAAGTGTTAAGCTCTGAAAGCACTGGCGATTTATATCAGATATCAACAGTATTCATTCTACAATTAAAGGCTTGATGTTCTCTGTACTAATATTGGCCGATTGTTATTCTTCATGGATTTTTAATGTAATAAATGATGTTTGTGTGACAACGGTAATAATCTCACCCGACTGTGATAGGAAACAGATCTTATATCTAATCAATTATTTTCCAAGCATGTAATAATTTTCTTCTTCACTAAGTATACGTAACCTATTACTCTCACTGTCTTTTTGACATAATTCATTTCCTTTTCCTGCTCCTGTTAATAATCGAGCCACAATTGGCTCAATGGCGAGGTAATTTTTTCAAATACAACGTTCATGGCAAGAGATAATTATACTCGCAACGAGAAGTTTAAGTTCTGAAATTCGAAACATTCCAGACGTAACCATTTTTACACAATCTACGAATTAAAGATAAAACAAATGTGTTGAATTATGTATAATAAGAATTCGGTATGAAACAATACAATGTATAAAGCGAATTAAACCGGAACTTCTATACTGAGACTGGATATTTTAAAAGAACTATTCTGAAAAATCTCTACAAGAATACGAAGGAACTTATTAGATCCGATCAATGGATTATGTTTCAAATCATTTGTTATATAAAATGAAGGTTGTTTGAACAATGTGGTCAAGTTTTGATTAGTCTGTGGGACTATGCCATGAATGTAATGGAATTTGTTTTGTATGTCTGAACACAATTGTCTTGGGAATCGCACTTGGCTGAGTATATAGTAAGATTAATACAAAATGGTTGTTTGGTTGAAACTTTATTATTATTTTTTCTCGATCAGTGTCGATGTATATTGGAAATTATATAAAGGAGCAGTTCGCTTAATTCATGTGATAGAGTAGTTTTTGAAACAATGAATTAGTCAAAAAAAATTGTTTGGCACACTCTCGAAGATAGTTATCATCAACTACAAAGTAAATGCTTAGATCTTGTATGTTGTAGAACGTTCAGTTTACTCATCATATTATCTGTCAAGTGTTCCTCAATTACAATAAAACACTCTGTATTTAATTCATATGGAAAATGACAGTTTTTTTTTTTAATTTTTAATATCAAATGTGTCAGAATTATCCACTTAATGCTCTAAAGCTAAGCTACGATTGCAACATGGCTATCACTATTACTGCAAAAAATTATTCATTACAGAGACAGATTCAGCTTTACGGAAACTGCCAAGGGTTTCCGATTGGGGCACAGCCGGTCTCGATTTAAATTTTCCGAAGTTCTTAATGCATGGAAACGGAAACATTCTAAATTATGATTGTTTTCACAAACTACTCATTTTATTTTTCGATATTGTCTTATGGAACCTATGTGAATATGTACATTCCACTTCCCGTAATGATATAAAAGCATCGCCATCTTTGAAGCTGAGCCGCGGTGGCTCAGTGAGTTTAGATGCTTGCTCGTTAATCTGAAGGTCCAGGATTCAATCCCGGGATAGGTTGAGATGATACCTTTAGATTTTTCAGGTTTCCCCCTAGGGGTCAGTTCTGCAGACATGGATGGAAAAGACGTCTTGTCGTTCGGATCGGACAATAAACAGAGGCCCCGTGTGCTACAGGCTGTGCACGTTTAAGATCCCTCGACAGTTTAAAATCGAAAAAGAGCAGAATAAAAACTCAATGCCACCTCACAAGGAGTTGCCCATCTTAGCTCACATGGTGCAAATTAGTAGGATGTAAAACTCCACCCATTTCGTTTTATCTTTGAAGCTGAATTTAATCAAAAGAAAAATTGCTACCATACAACTTGACTGTACGGTTGGAAATTTATTGATATTTTTTGAAGACTATATGATCAAAATGTTTACTTTTATTAAAAGACTGATTTAACCTTTGTTGTCTTTTTGTACAATTTGTGACTGCAAATTCAGATTTTATAGTGCAATGAAACCAAGATAAAGTACAGTATTATCCAGACTAGATCATTTTATGGTAATGTCTTACGATAGAGGCAACAAGGTTGACGAATTTTTTATGGAAAACATTTAAAAGTTCCATTTAATAATAGCAATTACTGATCTTATCAGTGCCAGAACGCCTGCGATTGGAATTAAAGGCAATCAACCTTGAGAATAAAGACTATAGATGTATAAATATATGATGACAGGTGACAAGAAATGGTTTTTTTTTTCTGATCATAATAACATGTCAATATTTATAATTGTATGGACTATTGTCAAGCTCTAGAATAAACTGTTCTGAAGTATGATATGCACATCTTTTTATGAAATAGAAATGGTGAGTTGTCGTTTCTGGCTTGAATATCGTATGAACGACAGACATGGACTTTCAGTATCAAAAACCGTGGTAACACAGTGAACTTTATGGAATTACAGACCGTGCCACCATATTTGAAAAATCTTTGAAAACGTAATGAGTCACAATGTTTATTATGCTTTTATGAAGGAATGTATTTACTTCAAAATTGTTCAGATGTTTCTCGAAGTTGGTTTTTAAAACCAGTATGTAACGAACGATTGTATTGTCATTCATTGGCAATTCTACTTAATAATCAAATGTATAATTTGCAGTTGAACATGCCCAGATAGACAGATTTATAAACATTTTAATATCGACATTCATGCAAGCAAGCTGAACTTAATTCTATTCTCGATTGTCACAAGCTAACATTACGTTGTCATTCTCGTAAAATGATATTTACCTAATGGAACGTCTTGGTTGAATGTTTTCTTAGAAAAAGGATTAAATTTGTCCAATATACTGTCTAGATCACCTTGATATATCGATATTTAATAAGCTTATGTAAAGATTGAGAGTTGAATGTGACAGAGTATGAGTAAATAGATACGTCATTGATGACCTTATTGCATATTTAGAGCACGGCTGCCATCTTTAGGATATCATTTTATAGAATATTACCTTGAACTATGTTAGAGATTGACGGCTATTGTTCATTGTGTAAACATTGGTTAATACCTAAAATTGTTGATCAGTTATCAAGACCTGATGGCATAAATACATCGTTTAACCGGCTTATCAACCTACAAATCAAATGCGTTGACTAACAGGTAGCTTGCCCAGCAAGCAAGCACCTTAAATGTTTTATCTTTCCTTTTCACAGCAGCCTTGTTTTGTTATCCAAATCAGTTACAACTGCAGGTTCTCTAGTATTTTAAATATTCAAAATTAAATATTTAAATTCATTTGATGAGATGAAAGAAATAGAATTACAGTAGTAACCATTGCATGATGAACCTGTAGTGGGTTAGAAAAATAAACCTTTGTGAACGGTTTAGAACCTACTGATGTCATGATTATTAAAGATCAGAAAATAATCAGTAACAAATATCTGTAAAACGGCACAAAGAAAATCGTGTAAGAAGTGGTCCTTGTACAAAGATCGGCTTTAATAAAAATAATTATAAGAAGTTTGAAAACATCACAAGCCTTGCGGCATTTTGTTGAGATTGTGTTGAACATCATAACCAATACGTCAAAATCCACATTCTATATTCAGTAATTATGATCATGTGCGTGATCTAGTATCTGAATAAGACACAGCTGGAAGGAAAGACTCGTCAGTTGATGCTGATTTGTTCGATATGTGACAATTACAGCCATTTAATTAACCCCAACTTTCTGTATATAATTATAATATTATATTTACATTGGTTGCTAAATTGTAATATTAAAGTCACGAGTATGAAATTAATAAATGAATAAACACTGCAAACGGTTTTCTCTTACTTTTGTCTTTTTTGTCATCAAATCTGTACAACTACATACATACATCATATTCTGGTAATGTTCTATAATGAAACATGTTTAGTTCTGAGAAAAATGTACCTCATGATAACAGATCGATTTGG